CAAAGTTAGCAAGACTCTGTCTCAAAAACAAAGACAAAAGTGCTGGAGACGTAGTTCAAGAGGTAGCAAAGGTGAGGAGTTTGGAACCTGTAGTGCCAGCAAAACAAAACAACCATAGAAAAGCCACCCCTCCCCCAAGCCCCAAATGTGAATGGATTTTAATCCAGTCGATATTGTCAGACTGGATCCAGCTTTGGATTGCTATAGCAAACCCATGGTAGACTGGGCAGTTGGTTATAAAAAACAGGAATTTGTTTCACACAGTTGTGAAGTGGAAAATCCAGACCAAGGCACCAGCAGATTCAGTGTCTGCCGAAGGGCCTCTCCCCTGATCCCATTTAAAGGGGTGGAGCCCAACAGTTCTACCTTTTCATGCCATGGCACTTGTGATTTGACTCAGCACACAGACTCTGTGAGGAGAAAGACATCAGACCATAGCACCAAAATACAGGAGGTGCACTTAGATTCAAAGTGCAGCTAGAGTGATGGAGATGGATTATGCAAATAGCACCATAAGAAAGCCAGAGTGAGCTGGGCACTGTCGTTCACGCCTGTAATCCTAGCTATTCAAGAGGCTGAGATTTGAAGATTGAGGGTTGAACCCACTGAGGCAGACAAATCTGAGAATCTCTTATTTGCATTTAGCCAACAAAAAGAACTGGTGGTGTAGCTCAAGTGATACAGCTAGAAACAAAATAAGACCTTGAACAACAACAAGAAATGTTAGGAGAGATAAAGAGCAACATTTAATAATGTCAAAAGAAAAGGGTCAACACAAGACTCTTAGCAATTGTAAAAACATTTGCATCTGACAGAGCACCGGAATACCCAAATCAGAACCTGACGGAGTACAAAGGGAATATAGATACTCCAACAATACCTGGATATTTCAGTCTCTGATTTGCGGCGCTGAGGCTGGAGTCCTGGGCCTCACCCATGCTAGGTAGGATTGGGGGCACAGAGCTGTACCCTCAGCTTAGTCTTCAGTATCAGTTGTGCATGGAACATCTGGACAGAGGGACTGCAAGGACATAGAAAACTTGAGGAGCACTAACCCCTCGAGATGAGACATTTCCCCAGTGACACAGGAGCCATTCTCCAGGACATTTCTGCACTAGGTCCCCTCATTCAGCCCCAATAGAGTTAAAGGAGTGGAAACAAAGAAGAGAACTCTGACCACAGTGGGATGAATTCAGACATTAGGAGGCCGCCACACAGTTCTGCTCTGCCAGGGCTCTCTTCAGGTGCTCCCATCTCAGAACGTCCCACAAAGCTCGGGTCCACCGCAGGGCCTGGCAGCTACCCACTGATGACTGCCCTCGGCATATGAATTCACAAGGCCACGCTGGTGTCAGGACCATGTGGAAGCCAACAAAACGGCTCTTTTCCTAGAAGTCACCAAACAACTTCAGCTTGTCCTCGACAGCGGTTACTTGACAGCCTCATGACTCATTTCGGCATAGGTTGAGACAGAAATGAACTGATGGCTAGGACTGTTTTGGGGATTTCTTAAGGGGCCTTGCCCAGTAAAACAAAAGAAGATTCCTAAATGGCACAGGCAGTTCGCCAAGAGCCAGCAAGCAGCAGTGAAAGGGCAAAAGCTGTGTGTTCAGAGCAAGTTCTAAAGCGGCTAGAAACGGCATTTCTTCCGATGGAATGGAGAAAGTTGGTAGTGGGCGTGCTAAATTCATGTGTATGAGCCCACGGGATGTCATAGCACTTGGGAAGGGCTGGCCACCTACCCCCAGGTATGCAGAACGGCTGGGACTTGATGGGCTGTAATGTAGTTACTTTGGCCTCTTACCTGGTAGGTCATTGTCTGGGCTCTGTCCTTTGTGGCTCTGTCCTCGAGTCCTGGCTGGCACTTGGAGGCCACAGAGTAGAGCAGGCGAGTCACAGACCCTAAGCCTTGCTGCCTGACTGTGCCCTCTGCTACCTCTTGCTAGTTGTGTTTTGTTGCCCAAAGCATTTGTCCCCTTCCTGCCACGATACGACCAGGGGCCACTTGTTCCTGTGGGCCCTGCTGCAGAGCTCTGAGCAATTTGAGGAGCTATACAGTGGTGACTGTTGTTGTTGCTTGGTACATGTTTGTGGAATTGTGTTAGGTTCTGTTGGAATTCAGTGCCCTGAGGGAATAGGTTCTATCATGGCACTTAATTCTTCTTGCAGGAGAGCTCTTGCCCATCCAAACCTCAAGGTATCTCTCCCTTTCAGCACTGGGTAAGATTTTACAGTGAAAAGCTCAAGAAAGTAAACAAAATTCCTGATGGCTCCATCTGTAATCCTAGCTGTTCAGGAGACTGAGATCTGAGGATCATGGTTTAAAGCCAACTGGGGCAGAAAGTCAGTGAGACTCTTAATCTCCAATTAACCAGCAAAAAGCCAAAGGTAGAGGTGTGCTACAAGGAGCACAAGAGTTGAGCATAAAAGCTAAGAGAAGGCATTGAGGTTCCGAGTTCAAGCTGCTCTGCCAACACACACACACACACACACACACACACACACACACACACACACACACACACACACACACACACACACACACACACACACAGCATTCTATATGTACAGCATGTTCTAAGGAAGTGTCACTGTGTTCTCTTGAGTGTTGATAAACAACTCTGACTTCTTTATTTGATGAGAACTTATGTGGAGTCTGAACATGTGATAAGTAGCAGTCTTATCAGAAATTGTGTTTGTGGTGGGGAGTTGGAGTGGGTGGTTTTTTTGATGATACTGGAATATGGCGAAACTCCTGATTTACAGATATTTTTGACAATATGCTTCATTTTTGGAGGCTTGGGCTTGGTGTTCAGGAAGGAGCCTGGCTAGTCACCTCTGTGCACACTCTTGGAAATCTTCTGGCAAATCAGCCCTTATGCCACTCTGAGGGATGGAAAACAGAACAGATGCCCTTTTCTGGGCATCTAGGAAGTGGCCTTAAATTTCTTTTCTTTTTCTTTTATTTTTTGGGTTGTGGCGCTGTCCCTCAGCTCTTCAGCTCAAGGCTAGTGCTCTATCACTTGAGCCACAGCATCAATTCCAGTTTTCTGATTTTATTGGAGATAAGAGTGTCACAGACTTTCCTGTCCGGGCTGGCTTTGAACTATGATCTTCAGCTCTCAGCCTCCTGAGTAGCTAGGATGACAGGTGTGAGCCACTGGCATCCGGCGAGACCTTAAATTTCTGACCATGCCATTTACTTCAAGCTTTGGATCTTGGACAAATGACTTCATCTTCTTCTTCTTCTTTTTTTTTTTTTGGTCCGGTCGAGCGGCCTGAACTCTGGGCTGGGCGTTGTCCCTCAGCTCTTCAGCTCAAGGCTAGCACTCTACCACTTGAGCCACAGCGCCACTTCTGTTTTTTTTTCTTTTTTGCTTATGTGGTGCTGAGGAATTGAACCCAGGGCCTCATGTGTGCAAGGCAAGCGCTCTACCACTGAGCCACCTTCCCAGCCCATGACTTCATCTTCTTGAGCCTCAGTGTCCTTATCTGTCCAATGGGGACCCTTTTTACAAGGGGGCTTAGTGAGATGAAGCATGATCAGCACATGCCTGGCACAAAGTGGGCTCTTCTAAATGACAGCTCTCTGTTCAGCTGCTGCTTCTGGGCCACTTCCTTGTCCCCAGTCGCTGGCACAATGAGCAGGGGTGGGCTGTGTATGCAGTGGTGGTTGGTGAGAGGCCTAGTTTCCTGTGGGGTTCTGGCTTTGCCGTGTTGTCTTCTTGTCAGCGTCTGTGGGGTTTCAAGAAGGGCAAGGGGGCAGGTAGTGGTAGATGGGTGGGGCCTCACTCCTGGGGCTCAGACAATCCCTCCCCTCCGGGATGTTGAGTTTACTGAGCATTGTATGTGTGTGCACACACATCTGCCTGCGTGTAGGTGCACACTTCCTCAGCTTCTCACACACAGGGTCAGGAGGAGGAAGCCAGCAGGCAGAGAGGTTCGACGGTTGTGGAAGGGTTACAGTGAGCCTGGAATGGAAAGGAGGGGGAGGCAGCTTTGTGGGCATTTCCTGGCAAGATTTCATTTCATCAAAAGGTTTCTAAAACACCTTTTTAATGTTCGTTTTTGTTGAATCCTCTGAATATACATTCTGGTTTTATTTTTTCCTGGGAACACACTGTACCAACTTGGTAACCTGATTAGAAGAGGCAACCATTCTGGAGGCTTCACCAGTTGCTGGCTGGCTTGGGATGGGTTTCTGGCCTGAAAAACCAGGTTTTCATTGATTGATTGTATTGATGATTTATTGAATTACCAACTGATAACCAATGGATAATTGGAGTGGCCTCTCCAATCCCAGACAGGTAGTGAGGGGGCATCTATGAGCAGCCCCTCCCTCATGATAGGAAGGAACTAGGGTCCAGAACAAGGAGCTTGGAGGCAGGAGACGGGCATGTGAGCTGGGTGGAGGCGAGGTGAGTAGAGGTCTCCCCGGAGAGTGTGGTAGTAAAAGCTGCTTACCTGAAGGTAACCAGTTCTCTCAATTAAAAAATAAGGTATACCTGGGTGCTAGTGCTCCCTGTAATCCTAGCCAATCAGGAGGCTGAGATCTGAGGATCTTAGGTGGAAGCCAGCTAGACAGGGAAGTCTGTGAGATTCTTATCTCCAACTAACCAGCAAAAAGCCAGAAGTGGAGTTGTGGTTCAAGTGGTGGAGCACCAGCCTCGTGCACAAAAGCTCAGGGACAGTGCCCAGGCTCTGAGTCCAAGGCAGGGGACAGGTACTCACCCACACGAAGATAAAGAACATGAGTTTAATCCCTGTCTGGGGGCGTGGCTATTTATGCCAAAGGGTGGGGCTAGAAGGCAAGGAGGTGAGCAGGCCCTGGAAGTGGGAGGGGCCAGTACATGGGCTCAAGGCGGGGCCAGAGGCGGAAGGGGCATGGCCGCAGTGACTTTGGTGTCTAGGGGTGGGCAGGTGCACGGGAAGTGGACGTGGTGTCTCAGTGTCATCTTCCGTCCTGTGCTTGTGACTGACTTTGGGCTTGAGGCGGCGTGGGTAGAAGGCCCTGGTATGGCTGGTACGTGGCGTCCTGAGGCAGGTCAGAGCCCTGGCTGTCTGGTCTGGTGAAGATGGGGGCCTGGAGGTAGGTTGCGACGTTTGAGGTAGAGCCCAGGGGTCCCTGCTGTCCACGGAGCCCAGCAGTCAGTGTGGCAGCCCCAGCCTGGGCTGTGGGGCTGTCACCGAGCAGGCCCTCAGGATGCAGAGGCTACGCCACTCATGAGAGCCTCACAGCTGTTACGGGCAGGCCGGTGGATGGGCCCTGACTGCCTCCCGCACAGAAGTCCCAGCTCCTTGTTCTGCTGCATGGGTCGGTGATAATACCCTTCACGAGACAAGGTATGAGGAAGACCAGTGTGAGCAATGGGAGTTCAGAGGCTGGATTCAAATCCTGCTTCTCTGGGTATTTGGTGTTAGACATTACCTCAGCCTCCATGACCATTTGTACAGAGCAGAACTTGGGCTTTTCTTAAAATCCCCTCCAACTCTGTTCTGTTCCTCGCTGGTTCTTAAAGTAATTCCCTCTTTGTTAAGGCTGACACCTGTCTTCCAGTACCTTCCCCAGGGCCAGTTCCCTTTGTGGTTTCAGGATGTTGGTGAGTGCCCAGGCAGGGCAGCCACTCGTGAGCACAAGGCCTGAGTTCTTGCTGCCTATTTAAAAATGGGCCGAGCCTTCCTGGCTGTCAGTACTGCTTTGAAGTTCACCCAGTGGGTTCGCCACCCACGGAGCTCTGCTGCCTGGCACATCTGTATTTAAAGGCTGGGTTTAGTGGAATCATCTCCCTGTTGTGAGCCTCATTCTCTCTGCTGGTAACCATGGAGATAGTATCTCCTCTGCCAGCTTCTGATCTCTTTGACCCTGCTACCCCATCCTGAGTTGAAAGGATGCAGCTTCCTCTTTCTGTGAAAGAGTCACCCCTGGCTGGGGTGATAAGGATCTTAGATAAAGATGTACAATGCAGCTTAACCCAAGCATAGGAATTTGTCTGTCCCCATTCTGGTGGGCTCCAAACCACCTCCTACAACGTTCATATCCAGCTTCACCATATTCTTTATCTCCCATCAAAGACTCAGGCCTCTTCTTGGCTCTCTGCCCCCATACTCCCTTCCAGGCAGCTCAACATGTAGATCCTGAAGCTACTGCTCTGAATAAACTGGTCTTTTCTCTTGGCCTCCCCTGGGTGGGAGGTCAGTATTCAATAATCATCTTCACTAGGTCTCAGGTGGACAAGCCCGCTGTTTATCTATGACTTTAGTGTTTGGTCAAATACTTTGTGCTTAATAGGTTCTATCACACATGAGTGGTGTGACTTTGGGCAAGTGCCCTGCCTTCTCTGAGGCTTTGTGGACTCAGGAGTCTGCTGCAGAATACCCCATACCCACTATTGGTATTGCTTTCGTCTTGACTGTCTTGGCAGCAGGGAAGACTTTGAGAGTGTGGGCCTATGGTAAGGGAAGTGGAGGGAAGAAAGGCCTCATCCTTAACCTCAGGGCAGCAAGGGGCCCAGGCTTCGTCTGCGAAAGCTCTGGGGATTGTCAAGGTCAAGGGCACGTGGGCTGGGTAGGGAGGGACGAGGTAGAGGGAGTGGCCAGGGACTTGTGGACCGCATAGGCCTGCGAATGGAGCACAGAAAGCACTGATCCTTGACAGGCTGGGGCCTCCTGGGTGTTGGGTGGTAAGGGTCTAGTTCATAGGTGCTAAGGGACCAGAGAGATGAAGGTGGGCACAGGACACTGTCAGCAGAGTCTGTGCTAACTGGAAGCATGTTTCGCTGCTTCAAAAGGTTTCGATGTAAAACTGTGGCTTTTCAGATGGGGACACAGGCTCACAGCAAGTGCGGCCTTTCCACTGTGACTCAGCAGGAAGAGGTGAGAGCCCAGTCCCTAGCTGTCTGTACTGTGGGCCTGCCCTGCTCCACTCTCTCTGTTACCAGGGATGGAGGGCCGTCATGCCTGACGTCTCCTGGCTTCCGATTTCCTAAACTTGAGCCAAAGACTAGGCCTAGCATCAGCGGAGGATTCCTAACTCTCTGTCGCTGTCCCAGGCTCCCTTCTTCCTGCCAAGGACAGCGCCTTCTCCGATGGCCGTGGTCATTCTTGATCGAATTGTGTTCTCCATTTACACTTAGCTATTCTGAGTGAGTCTGGCAGACACCTGCATCCTGTGTACAGCTGCTCTTCAGTAGCACTCTGGGGCCTGCAACATGGAGAGGAATCATTCTGCTGTGTAGGACAGTTGTGATAGGTGGTGACATTTGAATGGTGACAAATGATCAATGTAAAATTTCTGATTTTGATACCTGTACAGTCCTCTGTTGGTATCCACAGGGGATGAGTTCCAGAACACTTTCAGGGACCAAGCTCAAGCCTCCTGTGATCCTACCTATAAGGGTGTGTGCCGTTGGCCTACAACCTAGGGAAGTGCCTCTGTGAGCTTCAAATCATGTCCAGGTCATGTCGCACACCCAGCTGTGTGAAGAGCCCGGGGCTGTAGTCCTAGAGAATGAGGGTCAGGAAAAGGTTTTTATGTCAGTACAGATGCAAGCATTAAAAAATACACTTGATCCATGGTGGTTTGAGCTCACAGATGTGGAACCCACAGATAAAGAGCACTGTTGGGTGTGTGATTTTTCTAAGGTCCTTCGTCTTAAGACATCAAAGTCATAGCCTTTGGCGTGCAATGTCGTGGAATTCTGTAGAACTAGATGCGTCTATATGGAAATGTGTCTTTCTGACTGGGTAAGGCAGGTGGGGGAAAATTGGTGCAGTTAGTGAATCCAGATGAGAGCTCGTTGTGCTATTCTTGGAGCATTTCTGTAGCTTTGCAAGATAACATTTTAAAAATGCATTCGTTAATAATTGTGGCATCCACGGGAGTGTGCGGCTGTGCTCCTGATCCCTCTGTGGTCAGCCCTCCATGACTCTTGCCTTGAGGGGGACACACCCCCAGTTTTTCCCAGCAGCTACTTGGGGCTGGTTTTGAGCCGAAGGCTGAGGCTTTTGACAAAATCCACTTCTCTGGAGACCTTCGTCTTTCAAATGCTTCTGTTCAGACCAACTTTCCTCCCTTCCAGTTCATCTTCCTTATTGCATTGCCTTTTAGTATTCCTAAAGAGGTGTTATTGTTGAAACCATTCAGCTAGAGAGGGGGATAGAGAAATCCACAGGCTTTTTTGTCTCTTCAGCCCTCCAGACCTATCCATGGGCTTGGCAGGCCTCCATACCTTCCTGCCTTTGCCCAGGCTCTGCCTACAACAAATCCATTACTAAAATACATGTGCATCTTAGGGCATGAGCTGGGCCTCTTCTTTGCCCTTTGTGACCTTGACTGGCCTCCCCAGACTCAGCTCAGGGCTTAGCTAAAGGCCCTGAGACACTAGCTCTTCCCAGGGCAGCCATCTGATTCTGCGTCACTTCCTCTCCAGTGCTCAGGTGATGGGTGGGGGGCAGCTGTTCTCTCCACACCCCTGCTGGAGCTGGGGGTCCAGGAGAGGCACAGTCAGCATGTGTCATGAGGGGGAGCCGGCCTGAGTGAGCAGCCATGTGGGTGTGTAAAAGCAGCTTTCTTGCCCAGGCTTCTCAAAGTGCCTGAGAACCTGGGCAAGAAAGTCATTTTGGCCAGTGTGCCCACTGCTTTCCCAGCCACCCATACCCTGGCACGAATACCCTATGTGGACTGGGCTGGTGGGTGTCCATGAGCTGCCTACGGATAGATGGGCCAGGCTGGGTCTTGTCCCCTCTGCAGGATCCACATGGAGTTGTAAGGATGACAGGAAGGAGTGGGCCAGGACCTAGGTGTGAGTCTGGCCTCATGTCTTCTGTCCACAACCCCTCTCCTTCCTCACCAGAGACCCTGTTTTCACAGCTGAGATTTAGCAATGCTACCTGCAGATCATCTAGTCAGTGTCAAGGGACCAGGGAAGTGGAAAGTTCAGCCAATGTGCAGCCAAGGTCTGGTGTCTTGGTCAGTGCATTGGGTCAGTCTTCATCCTTTGCTCTGAGCAGCTTTCCTGAGCTCCCTGCCCAGTCAGCCCTGGGGTGTGGCCCACTCTATCGACTGAGCCTTCCCAGCTCTTCCTTCAGGGAGGGGCATGGGACTAGGTCCTTGCTGGGCTCTGGGCAGGGCCTGTCTGGCAGATGTCATCAGAGTCATTCAGGAAAAGAGGACATTGTGCTTCCCTGTTGCTTGTGGCTTTATGGGAACTTGCATATCCGAGATGTCAGACAAGCATTGTGACTCCACTTAATGGAGTGATGGACTGCTCAAGGCCGCGACTGTAGTCACCCGATGAGCCCTGCCCGGCTGGCAAATGGAATCTTGAGATGGGCACCTCCCGGTCTGCATAGTTTTTGGAGGCTGAAATTGTCAACCTTCAAGACACATGAACAAGTAGCTGTGGTGGGGTATGCCTATAATTCCTGTTCCTCTGGAGGCAGAGGCAGGAGAATTGTGAGTGTGAGGCCAGTTTGGGCAAGGTAGTGAGACTATCTCAGAAACAAAGATAGAAGTAGTGGGATTATTGCTAATGGTAGCGCACTTGCTTAGCAAGTTCAGGGCTTTGGATTCAATCCCTGTACCAGAAAAGAAAGAAGATGTACGAAGATGGTGTCATCTGTTTTGTTCTTGTGCTCTTGGCCTTCTATACTGAACAGAGCCTAAGGAGTCGGGGCTCAGAGCCCTCTCTGTTTCCTGTCTTTCCACCTAGACTGTGGTGGTGTTTTGATGTGATGGTGGCGGTGTGATAGTGATGTTGGTAATGGTAGTGGTGATGGTGGAGGTGATGATGATGGCTAGTGGTGATGGTAGTAATGGCGATGATGATGGCTATGATATCGATGGTGGTAGTGATGGTGGAGGTGATGATGGTGATGATGGTTATTGATAGTGATGGTGGTGATAATAGTGGTGGTGATCATGGTGATCACCGTGGAGGTGGAGGTGATGGTAGTGATGATGCCTATGATATTGGTGGTGGTGATGATGCTAATAGTGGTGACGGATGGTAGCGATGGTGGTGGGTGGTAGTGATGGTGATGGTGGTAGCAGAGGTGGTCGTAGTGATTCTGACATGACAGTGGTGAGTC